GGCTTAGAAGCAGCTGAATAGAAAGGACATTTGCTTTGCCATTAGATAAAGAAGCCTCTACCTCACTGGTGGCACCATTGTTATTTGTGTGGCTCGGATCTAGCAATTGGATCCCGAAATGGAATTGGTTCCTTTGGGGAACTTTTCAGGATGCATTTTAAGTGCAGTCTAGAAGGTGGCTATATAGTGGGGTAGGGGTGGGGAGAGCGTGAGAACTGTGGACGTGGAGGGGACTGTAGGAGTCCTTTATTTGGGCTTGTCACCAGTATAGAGATCCCACCCCATTATGGTGGGTTGTCATCCCTCTTCTTGAATATCCAAGGTGAAAGGGAGGTCACAGCTTCACAAGATAGCCGGTTCCACTCGGGATAGCTCTACTGCTTTTGTGCCTCATTGAAAAAAAAGAGGGAAATTATCTAAAAACATGTGTTTATGAATATATATACACACACATATGTATTTTAGTGAACAGCACACATATTTGTACTCCTGTAGAGAGGCCTGGGGTTTTATTAATAGTACTTGATAAAAATTAGGCTCCCAAAGCAGACATAAGTATGTTGGAAACGATGCTTTGTGCTTAGCTGTTTGGCACATTTGGAAATCAGCAACATTACCTGTTGATTAGTAGACAGCAATGTGGTGGTATTATATGCCCAGTGATTAGTTTCAGAAACAAACAGCATGCTAATTGTAAGGAATCTTTGAGATGTTCTTGAGGAAACTGAAAACTTGATTTAATGACCTTACATTCCAGGGCTGTCCCAATTGGGCTTCTAGAGCTCTGTGTTGAAAGTTTGTACCCAGTATATACAGAAACATGAAGTGACCAAATGTGTCACATTGCATCAAAACCATTCCCATTTGTTTTGCAGATTTTTAATGAGACCTGAAAAATAAGATTCATTATTTTTTATTCAGCCATAAGGAAACTTTGCAACCTAACAATGCATAAGGCATTTCTGAGGCACTAGGTAGAAATGCTGGTAGAGAGACTTTTATGAAATAGAACAGGTTGAAACACCTTCGACCAGAGGAGTGCAAGGCATTTGAAAAGAGGTTGTTTCAGAAGAGGGAAACATGTCACATTTGAGAGTCCAGAATGGGAAACAAGGGTGCAGTTGTTGCTGTATCTGTGCAGCATGCCACAGCTGCATTCTCAAACTTTTCAGCTCTTATGGAAGGAATGAGGACACCATTTGCCCGCAGAAGCTGGTTTGGGTGATGTCCTATGCTAAGAGGGCTCCCTAGATGGAGAGGCTGCTCCAGGACCTGCTCCTGGCCAATGCCAGACAGAGGTGGAACCTCAAATTCCTAGTGGAGGGCCCTTAGGGACTCCCCAAGCCAAATCTATTGTTGACTGTTCCAGTCCTAAAGGAAGTGGGTCTGGAACAGGAGGGAGGACAGCCTCATCGACACTTCCAGCTTTCATACCTTCTCTTACCCTAAACCAGCAGCCTCTTATCAAACTTGATCTTGCATCAGAATCACCTGGAGTGCTTATTCAATACAGATTTCTGCTACCCCCACCCCAGTTCCTGATTCAGCACATCTGAGGTGGTGTCCAAGAATTTGCATTTCCAACAAGCTCCCAGGTGATGGTTATGGTGGGTGGGCCTGATCTGCACTTTGAGAACCATTTCCCTGAGTACCAACAAAGAAATAAAGAGAATAATAACTAGCAACCAGAGCCCCTCTCTCCCTGGGAGAATGAAAGTGAGGGTGGGAAGAGAAGAGGCCCCCAGCCAGGGGCAGCTCTTTTTCTCCCTCAGCCTGGAAAGGCAGAGCTGCTCCTGAGTTTGATGCTCAGACGCATTAATTGTGATACTTTACTTTGCCTAAGCGTGATGAAATAATTGAAGGCATCATAGCAAGAAGTTAAACCCTAGGGAGGCTATTAACAATTTAGCATTTCCAGTTCATGTGGGAATGTCGATTCTACTTACAGAGGAGAATATTGTGTTTAGTGGAAGCAGCAGCCGAATCAGCTGGGGTCTCCAATTGGCTTTGGTTTGACCCTCTTCCTGGAGGAGGATAAATGCAAGTCTGAGTCTCTCGCAAAGACAATGTGCTTTTCTCTGAAGTAAATAGCTAGGCAGGCTGATAGAAATGGTTAATTCTGCAGGGGAAGCAGAGGTACAGGGTAAAAACAGTGGGGGTGAGGCCAGGAGGCTCAGGTAGCAGAGCAGGCCTTGTTTTCCAATTGTGAAACAAGTCAGTTCAGTTGGACCTTTTGAAAGCCCAACTCAACATTGCTGGGCTGGACTCTCCCGCAAGAGGTTATTAAGTGCTGCTAATGGGTCAGTAGAAGGAGAACCCTCTTTATTGGCATTTCTTAGGCAGTGAAGACCGAGGCAGAAGGAACAGAGGGGAGAAGATAGATGCCGCAGGAAGGACCACTGGACCAGGAGTCATGAGACTAATTCTAATCTTCATTTTGTGGTTAACCATCAGTATAGTTATGGGATAGTCACTTAATTTCTCAAGGCCCCAGTTTCTCCATCCATATAAATGAAGCCATAGACTTGATGACTGCTAAGGTTTTTTACAACTTAAAAAACAAAACCCAAAACCATGATGCCAGCTTGTTGTTGAGACCTCTCTTTGCCATGTGGCCTAGCACCATAGAGCAGCCGCCTGCTTCTTGGAAGACAATCCTTCCACGGGTGGGGGAGAGGAGATGGTTCCGGGATGACCCAAGCACACCACATTCATTATGCAGTCAAACCTCTCTGCCAAGGACAATCTGCACTTGCAGCCACTCCCCAGCACCAGCACCACTGCCCCAGCTCCACCCCAGATCATCAGGCATTAGATTCTTATATGGAGTGTGCAACCTAGATCCTGTGAAGTCCACAGTAGGGTTCCAGCTCCTACGAGAATCCATTGCCACTGCTGATCTGACAGGGGGCGGAGCTTATGCAGTGATGCAAGTGATGGGGAGCGGCTGTAAATACAGATGAAGCCTTGCTCACCCTCTGCCCACCTCCCACCCTGCAGCTAGGCCCCCAGCAGCCTCCTGCCCAGCTGGGATTGGGTACTGCCACCCTAGAGAACTAGTCCAGCTGCTGCTCTCCTGCAGCTCAGCTTGGTTAGGGCTAGAGGATTTGTAGACAAACTTTGCCAACTAGAACTATATTCCAGGGGCTAAACCTGGATTAGGTTGACAGTCCTCCTATTATCTTGCTGGAGACTTAATTGAAACACTTCAGGGTCTCTTCCCAGAGTAAGTGGCAGGAGATTTGAAATTAGAGTCACCCCATGCAAGGATTCAAGTATGTTGTTGCTTTTATGCTGTGGTCACAGATACCTGGGTTGTGTGAGTTGCCTAAAAAAAGGATTTTAGTTTTGGCAACAAACAAACTTAGGAAACAGCTGAGGCAAGAACAAGTGCAAAAATGGATTCTCACATTTCTTGTTGAAAAGTACTAGGACTAAATCTGTAGTTAATTTTACCCCGTACTCTCAATTCATTTAACATAAACAGTCAAATGTAGACACACTTGCTTGTTAAGTCTGGTCTTCCTGCTTTTGTTGGTTCATTTTGTGGTGTTTATTTTGTTTTGGGTCAGAGAGGAGGAAATGCCTCCATAGATGGTCTCAGGCTAGGCTGTACCTCCACCAGGGCCTCCCTTCCCTCTGCAGGCCTGGTAACGACAGATTTATGCCGTCTGCATAAGAGCTTTCTCTGACCATTATTATCCACCAGGCTCCTCGTGAAAGGAAACTTTGTCCCATCTGCCCTGGCTGCACTTGGCAATGTGGTCTATATAAGGAGAACAGGACATATTTTACACTGGAGACCTGCTATCCTAGAGTATACCAACACTGCTAAGTGCTCTTAATATTAAGCTAACAGAAAACATCCTGTGTACTCACATCAAAGTCTGTTTTTCTTCTCTCCTGTCTCCCCCTATCATCACAAACTCCAAACCTCTAGCATGCATGGAGCATCTCCTACTCCTTCTATCCTTTGCTCTGCCTCAGGGTGGACATGTAGTTAGCTGAAGGTGGACTTGGAACAGCTAGGAACTTACCACATAAACCAAAAAGCCCCTGGGGTTGGACAAACCAAATATTTCCTTTTTCCACAGATTTCAGTGCTAGAAATGCTTAATTGACTGCTAGATTCGTGTTTATTGGTGTGAGAAGTTAGTCTTCCTCACCATGGTGCAGCAAAGTGCAGTAGAACAGTAAAGGTTGGCCACCGTTTCTGGGTGCTGCTATTGGAATGCTGGTTCTCTCCTTGTCATTTGATGCTATGATTTCTCACTCTCAAGGTGGGGACTTGACTGAAGTAATTTTAACCCCAGAAGTCTAATTTTTATCCTCCACTGCTTTGTGTTGTGAGAAGTCATGCCTATATTGGTTACTCCATTGATAGAATTCAAGAGGGTGGCCCAGTGAAGTTCTGAAATGCCCAAGGTTTCCCTATCACTGAAGGTCCTGTCACAAATGTAGCATGGAAAGAGGGGGGCAGTGGGATGGGGAAGGTAAAGTTGGGGGGCAGTGGGATGGAGAAGGGAGGGTGTCCCATAAGAAAATGGTTCACAAATCCACTCATTTTCTATCAGGGTTTGTTTTTTGCTTGGGCTTGTCTATAAAGTCAAGTCAATGTGTGCATGTAACCAGCCTTGCAGATAACTCTGCCCCCAGTTTTTCTAGCCTGTCCATAATATTACTGATTCTTCCCTCACTGCTTATACATCTCTCACAAGATAATAATCAAATATTAATAACAACAAATAAACAAGCGAATGAACCAAACAACTGCCCCCATACCTAAAACAAAACCCATCCCTTTTGTTGAAAAAGACCAAAATAAAAACAAACAAAAAACCTGTCGGATGTAAGTCACCACTCTTCTTTTGTTTCAGGCCTTGGGCCTGTTCACTATCTGCAAGGCTGTTGCAATGATGTTAATCTATTTTAATGGAATTGAAATGTGATATCTTGTGGTTTATGATGCTTTAGTGCTTGATTTTGGGTTTCTTTCACAGATAAACTTCTGCACTGGAGGGGCCTCTCCTCCCCTCGTTCTGCACACGGAGCTCTAATCCCAACGCCCGGGATGAGTGCAGAATATGCCCCGCAGGGTATTTGTAAGTTGAGCATTATTTCTTCTACAAATGTCCATGTGTATAGTGATGAGAGTTTCTGGAAATTACCCTTACTTTTTAAGTACTAAAGGGAGTTGCTTCCAAAATAGATTGGCATAGGTATTATTCCATTACTCACTTGGCACCCGCTCCCCCACTCCACTGAGCCCCAGGGGACTTCTTTCCTCCCCTTTTTCTTTCTTATTGAAGGCACGGAGCTGACAACAGCTCCTCCCTGGGGGGTCTTCTCCCCAGGGTCTTATCTGGCTCCATGGCTAGTGACTGGATACAGTCTTTGCCTTCAGAGCCCATTTTATTGCTGGACATTGACTCCCGTGGTCTCATTCAGGACTTTGGATTTGGTCCATGGCATGCATCTCTAGCCGAGGCCAGATCTAAAAGGAGTCAGATTTACTGCGGTGTTCTTGTGATGCATATTTTTTATGCATTTACATGTATAGTTGAACATGGTATATTTTATAGATACATGTACATTATAGATGTGCATATATATGCACACACATAATTTCTACTTATTTTTCTCCTGGTTTTAGAGAAAACTGCACAACACTGTAGTTAAAAAGTTAAAATGTTCCATTGTCATCTCCACCATACCTCCAGCACCACCACAATCGTAGATTTACTTGTTCAAGCCAGCTTTTATAGTAGGGGTCTTTTTATGAAATTTAGCTTTGTATGTTTATGCAAATGTTTTTTGAAAGGTGTTGTTTTAGAAAGTAATACAGTTTGCTTCTCTGTGTAGGAACACATGATATGAATCGTGCATGGCTAAAATGTTGGGGGGGGGCGGGCCTGGTGGGGGGAGAGAAGTGGTTCCACCCTAAACACAAAAAAGCAGGCTCAAGAAGAAAAGAAGTGTGACATCTAATTTTTATTTTGAAAATAAATGAAAAAGAACCTGCTGTGGAAAGGAAAAAAGAAAAGGGAAAGGGTCATGGAAAGGGTCAAGATGCAAGAGTTAAGGCTCTAAAGGGGGCTGTTTGTTAGACGGGAGGGAAACTAGACTTACCCATCTTGTGAATGGTATCTGAAGAGCAGGGCATGCACCCTGAGACCAGATTCAAAGCTAGTTGTTTATTTTTGTGAACTCATAGGTAATCCTAGGTAACAAAGAATTATTGTGTGAATTTCACAAGCCCTTGGGTCCTGAGGGCTGGGTGGTGCAGCACCTCATCTGCCCCCGCCATCCCCCCAAGCTGGGCCTAAGCCTGGGTTAGGTCACATATTGCAGAGAGTTTAGGGGATTGGACTCACGGTTTCAAGTCCCTACATGCTGGCTGGGTAGGGAGAGTTCTCCGCATTTCCCTGGGGGTGCCTGGGGCCTGCACTTGGCTGTGGGAACAGAACCACCCTTGGAGGGAAGGGAAAGGAGGGAGTGGGCAGTGGAGAGAGGAGGATGCAGTTGAGAGGCCAAGGTGTGCTGGCCTGGGAAACAGATTAGCTCTCTCTTGGTCTTCCTGAGGGCAGGGAGTTTGATTTGACAGGCAGGAAAGTCGGTGTCTGATATGGATCCCCTGTCCTGTCCCCTCTTCTCACAAAGGGAGGGCACGTAGTTTGCTGGCGCCCATGCCGGCAGGACCAGTTTAGGAGTGACCAGAACAAGGTATGTGGAAATGGGCCGTGGGGTTCCAGAGAGCTCTAGAACAAAGCTGACACCCACCCCACTCAGCTGCATGGACCAGCTGCCCTTGCTTTCAGAGCACTTAGCACTTACCTGTGGCCTCCCTGCCGGTGCACAGTCACTCCTGCCCCTCTCGCCAGAGCCTCCTTCCAGCCTGGGCTAAGGCCCCGAGTCGGACCTTCCTCTGGAAGCCGTTCTGGGGATGTAATGTCGTTAGTCATTACCCTCGGCAATTAATCACGCCTGGTAGTAATGAAAGCTCACATTCATGTTGGACGTGATAGCTTCCAGAGGGCTTTTACATACTTCTGTCATTTGAACCTCACAACAATTCTTTAAAGAATTTTTTTATGCTCATTTATGCCCTGTTTTTATGCTCATTTTACAGATAGGAATCCTACAACTCAGAGAACTAAACTGACTGTCCCAGAGTCACAGGATAGTAAAACGCAGAGCCAGGGATCCCAGCCTCAGACCTCCTTGTTCTTCTAAATCTTGAGGCTTAGATCACATGGCTTTTTAGCATTGGTGACACACTAGAAATGAGGGTCATTCCTTCCCATAAAATAAAACGAAATGAAATAAAATGAAATAAAAGCCAGTAGGTGGGCTAATAGCTAATTTTAACCCTTTTGATACCTCAGAGTTCCTCTGCTTAGAGGCCAGGTCTCAGTTTATTGCTCTAAATCAAAACAATCCCTGTGAATGCCCAATGAGGCTCTCAAATTGAGAAGTTGATTTTCATCAGAGTAAATGAAGAATATTATTATATTTTACACGTCAATAAATCAACGTAGCCCTAATTTTGCCACGCAGGAAATCAATTCTGGTCTTTCTAAACCATCAAAGATGTTATGAACAAAGTAATTTCACAAATTATGGCGAGTAACACATTTATTGATGACTGCAGTTTAGGAATTTAGAATCTGTGAGCACTGTAATATAATATGGTACACCGGCATGAGCTGAGTGAAATACAGATTATATGGTGAAATTGTAATGCATCATTTGCTATTAGTGGACTGGTAATAATTACCAGTTTCAAAGCAGCTCTTTCCATGTAATCTTTAGTCTCAATCGTAACAGCCCTTCTCATTGACATTATGATTACACTAGCTGCCCTCATGATCTAGAATATCTAGTTGATGGGAATACTAAAATGCGATAGTGAAAACTGTATGTTGTATGCTCATTATAAGATAAAATGCCATTTTCTCTGACCTGATGTATGAGCGAGAGGGGAGGATAACATCACAGTGTTAACATACTGTAGCATGATCACATACTGGCTCTGAAAAAAAAATTTAGGTAGCTAAGGGCAGCAAAAATAAAACGGACTCTTCTCATTTAAGCCTTTTCGAAAGGATACAAATGAGATCCCTGATGTAGTGCCATGTGCCACAGATTTCGGCACTTATCAATGGGCACATTCATGGCACATGCCGAGCCAGCATTACTAATAATAGGTCCAGGCCTGGGTTTCAATAAAATATGATAAAGTAAAATATGATTTTAAGGCATTTGGAGGGATGAAAATGTTAAGGACTTGCTTCATATGACAAATCTCCTTTTTACTTACCCAACTCAGATTGTCAGACTAAATGGGTCTGATAATAGCCCAGAATCCTAGAGAGGCAAAGGAGAAAGCCACAGAGGGTCGTGGTTGGAACCAGATCATTTCTTTCCAGCCTATTTGAGACCCAAGTCATTGTTCAACAACAACAAAAAATTTATGAAAATACTCTGAATGAAGCTTTTTATTTCCCTTTGAAGAGAGGAGGCAAACAAAAATAGGCAGATAATGTGATACTAATGTCAGCGTTTTCTTTCAAAATCTTTCTGGCTTTTTTCCCCCCCTCCACATTAGACAAATGTTTGAAACCTAATTTTGGTATCTTACCATCTAATCTTGTTAAAGAGATTTACCCAGGAGTGGGATATATTGAGTGAGATTATAAATGCATTGTAAAGTAAATTACAAGGTCAGGGCAGGAGTCCATTATTTAGACAAGTGCTTGAGCGAGGCTGGCTTGTTTTGGAATACGAGTGTTTGGGGGCTCCTGAGAAGACCCTGCCAGCTTTTCTTTCTGACTTGCTAAATGGAGGAATCATATAATTGATTAATTCCTTGTTCCCACTCTTTAGCTCCATGGTGAATTTTGTCCCTTTTTAAAAAGTTACTGGCAAATACTAGCTGTGGGCTTAAGGAACTCTTGTAAGCCCCTCTTTTAAAAGAAGGAGAAAAGTTTGTTATTTCTGTTATATTTTAAGCCCTGTCTTTTTTGGAATCCCTGGGAAATTATCTATTTTTCTCATCCTTGTCCTTTGGCCACCATCACTTGTGCCCTTTTTAATGCTGCAGCTGACTGGTAAACTGTTGGTTACTTACTCCCTTGATATGTGTACATATATATATATATATATAAATAATATATATATATTTTTAATTTAGCTATCTCCAAAAATGAAAGATTTTGTGAAGTCAAGCTGGTTCCTCTTTGCCAAAGTGGCATTTACCACACTTGGGTTCTTTTCAGCAAGAGAAATAATGTGACTTAAGCAGGGCCCCTCTCCAGACGGCTTGGCTACTGGCCAAAGAGTTGACTAGCTGAACTGTGTCTTTCTGTTTCTTTCTCAACTGGAGCTGAGTCTCAGCCGAGGGCGCAGGATGTTGTATAATTTGGTTCACGTTGTTAGCCTCTCAAAATAATGAGGAGGAGGATAGTGTAGCATTTCTCAGCCTGCTGCCTGTCACGGTGCTGGCTGCTTTAACTGTTGCTTAAACTAGGATGCCGTGTCTGCTTAAGTCGGCACCAGCCACTCCTCCTAGCTTCCCTGGACTTGCATTTGTTTGGCAGGGGAGGGGGGACAACTCCTAAAGATTTGATACAGCTTATCAGTTAAATCTGAATTAAGTTGTTCTTTTGAGATATTTTTACAACATTCCTTGAAATAAAAATGGGTGTCCTTGCGGGGTGTTGTAGAACCAAAACTGGGACTCATTGACCCTCACACAGGCTGGGCTGTGCAAATGTGGCTAGTCTCTTTTCCATGGAAGTGTTTTATGAGTCCCTTCTCATTTTAACAATACCAATAGTGTGTTTCAGGCTAAGATTAAAAGCATCTCTAAAGGTCATAGAGTTGTAGTGAGTTATCCTTCTACTCTCTTTGGATATCTCTATGGAATGATTATCTATTGATAGAGTTCGTCTGCCACCCAGTAAGGACTAGAATGATAGGATTTAGGAAGCAGAAAAGTTTCCCTTGCGTCACCTTGTCCAAGGCACTCACTTAACACAGAAGGAAATGGTGGCACACAGAGATGAGATGGCTTGCCCCAGACTATAGCCGATGAGATTGGAAAGTTTAGGAGACATTTGCTGGGTTCCCCGAAATGTAGGGCTCTTCATCCCCAAGCTTGACTTGGTCAGGATTTTTCTGCTCTGGGAATTAGATATAAAATTCTTAGAACCGAGTTTAACAGCAGAGAGACTGACTTGACAAATATTTCTCGGCCGCCAACTTTCAGATGTACTAGGCACCATTTAGACATAAGAGCAGTCATCCAGGGCGTAGGCCTTGGGGTTAAGGAGTGGGGGCAGGGAAAGCTGGAGGTGGGACATAAATAAGCAATTGCTGATGCCCGCCTTGGTGATTAAACATTGATGTCGGTGTTGTATTATTTTGCAGGTAAAGATGAGCCCAGCAGCTACACATGTACAACTTGCAAACAGCCATTCACCAGTGCATGGTTTCTCTTGCAACACGCACAGAACACTCATGGATTAAGAATCTACTTAGAAAGCGAACACGGAAGTCCCCTGACCCCGCGGGTTGGTATCCCTTCAGGACTAGGTGCAGAATGTCCTTCCCAGCCACCTCTCCATGGGATTCATATTGCAGACAATAACCCCTTTAACCTGCTAAGAATACCAGGATCAGTATCGAGAGAGGCTTCCGGCCTGGCAGAAGGGCGCTTTCCACCCACTCCCCCCCTGTTTAGTCCACCACCGAGACATCACTTGGACCCCCACCGCATAGAGCGCCTGGGGGCGGAAGAGATGGCCCTGGCCACCCATCACCCGAGTGCCTTTGACAGGGTGCTGCGGTTGAATCCAATGGCTATGGAGCCTCCCGCCATGGATTTCTCTAGGAGACTTAGAGAGCTGGCAGGGAACACGTCTAGCCCACCGCTGTCCCCAGGCCGGCCCAGCCCTATGCAAAGGTTACTGCAACCATTCCAGCCAGGTAGCAAGCCGCCCTTCCTGGCGACGCCCCCCCTCCCTCCTCTGCAATCCGCCCCTCCTCCCTCCCAGCCCCCGGTCAAGTCCAAGTCATGCGAGTTCTGCGGCAAGACGTTCAAATTTCAGAGCAACCTGGTGGTGCACCGGCGCAGCCACACGGGCGAGAAGCCCTACAAGTGCAACCTGTGCGACCACGCGTGCACCCAGGCCAGCAAGCTGAAGCGCCACATGAAGACACACATGCACAAATCGTCCCCCATGACGGTCAAGTCCGACGACGGGCTCTCCACCGCCAGCTCCCCGGAACCTGGCACCAGCGACCTGGTGGGCAGCGCCAGCAGCGCGCTCAAGTCCGTGGTGGCCAAGTTCAAGAGCGAGAACGACCCCAACCTGATCCCGGAGAACGGGGACGAGGAGGAAGAGGAGGACGACGAGGAAGAGGAAGAAGAGGAGGAAGAGGAGGAGGAGGAGCTGACGGAGAGCGAGAGGGTGGACTACGGCTTCGGGCTGAGCCTGGAGGCGGCGCGCCACCACGAGAACAGCTCGCGGGGCGCGGTGGTGGGCGTGGGCGACGAGGGCCGCGCCCTGCCCGACGTCATGCAGGGCATGGTGCTCAGCTCCATGCAGCACTTCAGCGAGGCCTTCCACCAGGTCCTGGGCGAGAAGCATAAGCGCAGCCACCTGGCCGAGGCCGAGGGCCACAGGGACACTTGCGACGAAGACTCGGTGGCCGGTGAGTCGGACCGCATAGATGATGGCACTGTTAACGGCCGCGGCTGCTCCCCGGGCGAGTCGGCCTCAGGGGGCCTGTCCAAAAAGCTGCTGCTGGGCAGCCCCAGCTCGCTGAGCCCCTTCTCTAAGCGCATCAAGCTGGAGAAGGAGTTCGACCTGCCCCCGGCTGCCATGCCCAACACGGAGAACGTGTACTCGCAGTGGCTCGCCGGCTACGCGGCCTCCAGGCAGCTCAAAGATCCCTTCCTTAGCTTCGGAGACTCCAGACAATCGCCTTTTGCCTCCTCATCGGAGCACTCCTCTGAGAACGGGAGCTTGCGCTTCTCCACGCCGCCCGGGGAGCTGGACGGAGGGATCTCGGGGCGCAGCGGCACGGGAAGTGGAGGGAGCACGCCCCATATTAGTGGTCCGGGCCCGGGCAGGCCCAGCTCAAAAGAGGGCAGACGCAGCGACACTTGTGAGTACTGTGGGAAAGTCTTCAAGAACTGTAGCAATCTCACTGTCCACAGGAGAAGCCACACGGGCGAAAGGCCTTATAAATGCGAGCTGTGCAACTATGCCTGTGCCCAGAGTAGCAAGCTCACCAGGCACATGAAAACGCATGGCCAGGTGGGGAAGGACGTTTACAAATGTGAAATTTGTAAGATGCCTTTTAGCGTGTACAGTACCCTGGAGAAACACATGAAAAAATGGCACAGTGATCGAGTGTTGAATAATGATATAAAAACTGAATAGAGGTATATTAATACCCCCCTCACTCCCACCTGACACCCCCTTTTCACCACCCCCCTTCCCCATCGCCCTCCAGCCCCACTCCCTGTAGGATTTTTTTCTAGTCCCATGTGATTTAAACAAACAAACAAACAAACAAACAGAAGTAATGGAAGCTAAGAATATGAGAGTGCTTGTCACCAGCACACCTGTTTTATTTTTTTGTTTTGTTTTCTTTTTCTTTTTTTTCTTTTTCTTTTTTCTTTTTTTCCTTTATGTTCTCACCGTTTGAATGCATGATCTGTATGGGGCAATACTATTGCATTTTACGCAAACTTTGAGCCTTTCTCTTGTGCAATAATTTACATGTTGTGTATGTTTTTTTTTTAAACTTAGACAGCATGTATGGTATGTTATGGCTATTTTAAATTGTCCCTAATTCGTTGCTGAGCAAACATGTTGCTGTTTCCAGTTCCGTTCTGAGAGAAAAAGAGAGAGAGAGAGAAAAAGACCATGCTGCATACATTCTGTAATACATATCATGTACAGTTTTATTTTATAACGTGAGGAGGCAAAACAGTCTTTGGATTAACCCTCTATAGACAGAATAGATAGCACTGAAAAAGAAATCTATGAGCTAAGTGTCTGTCTCTAAAGGGTTAAATGTATCAATTGGAGAGGAAAAAAGGCCTTGAATTGACAAATTAACAGAAAAACAGAACAAGTTTATTCTATCATTTGGTTTTAAAATATGAGTGCCTTGGATCTATTAAAACCACATTGCTGGTTCTTTCTACTTGTTATAAACTTGTAGCTTATTTCAGCATTGGGTGAGGTAATAAACCTTAGGACCTAGCATATAATTCTATATTGTATTTCTCACAACAATGGCTACCTAAAAATATGACCCATTATGTCCTAGTTAATCATCATTTTTCCTTTAGTTTAATTTTGTGAACAAAACTGATTATACCAGTATAAAAAGCTAGTTTGCTCCTGGTAAGAGCTTAAAAGAAATGGGCTGTTTTGCCCAAAGTTTTATTTTTCTTAAACAATGATTAAATTGAATGTGTAATGTGCAAAAACCCTGGAACATGATTAAATACATTAGTGAGGAGTTCATTTTATGAAGATACTTATTTTAAATAACGTCTTTTTAAAAAATTCTGGCACCAAAAGAAATAGATCCAGATCCACTTGGTTGTCAAATGGACAATCAAATGATAAACTTTAAGACCTTGCATACTATATTAGAAAGAAGAGGCTGACAATAAGGTTTGACAGAAGGGAACAGAGGGAAAAAAAAGTGATTTATTAGCACAATGTGGTACTATTTGCCATTTTAAACTAGAACAGGTGTATAAGCTAATATTGATACAATGATGATTAACTATGAATTCTTAAGACTTGCGTTTAAATGTGACATTCTTTAAAAAAAAGAAGAGAAAAAAATTTAAGAGTAGCAGTATATATGTCTGTGCTCCCTAAAAGTTGTACTTCATTTCTTTTCCATACACTGTGTGCTATTTGTGTTGACATGGAAGAGGATTCATTGTTTTTATTTTATTTTTTTAATTTTTTCTTTTTTATTAAGCTGGCATCTGCCCCAGTTGGTGTTCAAATAGCACTTGACTCTGCCTGTGATATCTGTATCTTTTCTCTAATCAGAGATACAGAGGTTGAGTATAAAATAAACCTGCTCAGATAGGACAATTAAGTGCACTGTACAATTTTCCCAGTTTACAGGTCTATACTTAAGGGAAAAGTTGCAAGAATGCTGAAAAAAAAAATTGAACACAATCTCATTGATGAGCATTTTTAAAAAAAAAAAACTAAAAAAAAAAACTTTGCCAGCCATTTACTTGACTATTGAGCTTATTTACTTGGACGCAACATTGCAAGCGCTGTGAATGGAAACAGAATACACTTAACATAGAAATGAATGATTGCTTTCGCTTCTACAGTGCAAGGATTTTTTTGTACAAAACTTTTTTAAATATAAATGTTAAGAAAAAAATTTTTTTAAAAAACACTTCATTATGTTTAGGGGGGAACTGCATTTTAGGGTTCCATTGTCTTGGTGGTGTTACAAGACTTGTTATCCATTTAAAAATGGTAGTGGAAATTCTATGCCTTGGATACACACCGCTCTTCAGGTTGTAAAAAAAACATACATTGGGGAAAGGTTTAAGATTATATAGTACTTAAATATAGGAAAATGCACACTCATGTTGATTCCTATGCTAAAACACATTTATGGTCTTTTTTCTGTATTTCTAGAATGGTATTTGAATTAAATGTTCATCTAGTGTTAGGCACTATAGTATTTATATTGAAGCTTGTATTTTTAACTGTTGCTTGTTCTCTTAAAAGGTATCAATGTACCTTTTTTGGTAGTGGAAAAAAAAAAGACAGGCTGCCACAGTATATTTTTTTAATTTGGCAGGATAATATAGTGCAAATTATTTGTATGCTTCAAAAAAAAAAAAAGAGAGAAACAAAAAAGTGTGACATTACAGATGAGAAGCCATATAATGGCGGTTTGGGGGAGCCTGCTAGAATGTCACATGGATGGCTGTCATAGGGGTTGTACATATCCTTTTTTGTTCCTTTTTCCTGCTGCCATACTGTATGCAGTACTGCAAGCTAATAACGTTGGTTTGTTATGTAGTGTGCTTTTTGTCCCTTTCCTTCTATCACCCTACATTCCAGCATCTTACCTTCATATGCAGTAAAAGAAAGAAAGAAAAAAAAAAAACGAAAAAAAAAAAAACCAATGTTTTGCAGTTTTTTTCATTGCCAAAAACTAAATGGTGCTTTATATTTAGATTGGAAAGAATTTCATATGCAAAGCATATTAAAGAGAAAGCCCGCTTTAGTCAATACTTTTTTGTAAATGGCAATGCAGAATATTTTGTTATTGGCCTTTTCTATTCCTGTAATGAAAGCTGTTTGTCGTAACTTGAAATTTTATCTTTTACTATGGGAGTCACTATTTATTATTGCTTATGTGCCCTGTTCAAAACAGAGGCACTTAATTTGATCTTTTATTTTTCTTTGTTTTTATTTTTTTTTATTTGGATGACCAAAGGTCATTACAACCTGGCTTTTTATTGTATTTGTTTCTGGTCTTTGTTAAGTTCTATTGGAAAAACCACTGTCTGTGTTTTTTTGGCAGTTGTCTGCATTAACCTGTTCATACACCCATTTTGTCCCTTTATTGAAAAAAATAAAAAAAATTAAAGTACACAATGTAAGCTTCTTGTGTCCTCATTTGACACACTCTGTAAATTACTTTCAAGAAAATAACAGGTTTTAAGAGAAGGCCAGTCAGTCTTTTTCAGGATTATTTCTATGGGCATTTTGATGTGTGTATTATATTCCAAAGGAAAATACAGTACTTACTATACTAAAATAGACATATCTCAAACTATGGAAATAGTTTTTAGGCTTTACAGTTCTAGAATAATTTTCAAGAAATGGAAGATATTTTCAGTCTGATGTTAAAAACTTTTGCTTCATCTCTTTGCAGAAATCCATTCACATATAAGTAAACAACTTGCTGGTAATAGCATCTTAAACTTTTATTTCCTTTGGATTTTTTGCTGTTCTTGTTGTCTAAAAGTTCTTTTCTATTCTCCTATTCTTGCCCTATCTTAGAATGTAATGTAAAAACGGGTTTTTGTTTTTTTAAAAGTCAGCTCTCTAGTTTTCACATAAGAATCTTTCCACATAACAGAAATAACCCCATGTCTCAATCTAAAAATCTAGAAACAAAGGCATCATGTTAAAAAAATAAAAAGGGAAGGAAAAAAGAGAGAAAGAAAAAGAAAAGAAAGTGGCAACCAGGAATTTATCCAGACATGGCCAAATCTTTGAAATCAGGTACTGATTTCCTAAGATGTGTGATGGTTTGCTTTGTGATTCTGAGACCTCAGGTACCCTAGATGCTACAGTGTTTTAGGTGTTTTTATAGGATCTTCCTGGCTGACAGCAAATGAAGGTGGGAATACCCTTCAATTATCTTTTGACCAATCAACAGATTTAGGAAACGTCTTTGAAAAGCAAGTTAGGTTTATTTTAAAAACCCCTCCTTAGAAATCCGTGTTGTCAGTTTCCCAAATACTGCATGTTGCAGCATCTATTTGCTTTATTAAAACACATACCTCTGTGAGACTGTCTCCCTATTCCCAGTGTAGATGAATGGACACGACATTGTTCTTAATTTTGTAAAAACCAAAACAAAAGCTGTTCTGTTGTCTTCTTGTAGCATTTTTTGTTGCTCAGTTCTTATGCCCTAGTGCCTGTGAGGTGGCCTTTTCATGTAATGCCTTTTATCTCAGGCAAGAATAGCTTTTTATGTTTCTAAAGTATAGAGAAAGTAGATATATTTTTTTAAAAGCCAGTTTGGATGGGAAGTAGAGAGTGGGGCAGAGAGGAATCCACTAAGAGAGGATTTTGGAGAACCTTGCATAGGAGTGGGGGTGGGGTGCCTTGGAGAACTTGATGTTTGCCAGTGAGCTGAGAACAGAGATACTGTATGTATTTCAGATGAGGTTACTCCAAAACTGAATCCAAAACGCTGCTCAAGGCAGATAGAAATATCCCCTAATGCCATGCCAGTTTTAGACGTGGTGACTGCTGTACCACCGTATTAAATGTCCATAAAAACCTGTGTGTGTCCCTATTACCCTTTTATTAGGAGCTATGAGTGCAGCTGTGTAGGTTTTATATACAGTATTCATTTTAATTTCTCAGTATATGATGCTCTTAGTGTAATTAGGTTTTGCATCCTGACAGACAGAATTAATGGTGGATACTGCATACTTGTCTGTTTAAATTTCTTAAATCAAATGGGGAACGGGGAGGAGCGCAAACATCTGATGATAAATCACAGATTATGTTTGATTTACATGGTCCCAAAGTTAAATAAATTTATTGGGAGACAGGTTCCTCAGGTTACTTAGTCTCCTGACTTATTGAATCCTTCTGATAAAATATGATTTCTGAGGTTGACTGAACAATAGAAGCATGAAAACCTAGTCAACATGAATATAACTTATAAATGACATTTTGTATCAGGAACTCTAAAATTTAAAATCTTAATATAAAATAACATAAAAAGCATTTCCAACAGTAAAATGAATTCATGATACATTTTTTTAAAAGGAGGAAATAGTAAGAACATTAATATTTCCCCAAATTCTCAAGTTTTGTAAAACTCTTAATGTGCTGATGGACTGTTCTCTATGTACCTGAACTCCTGATACTTAAAATGTTCCTTTTTATCTTCATTTTGAGAAAACTTAATAAACAGGAATACAGCCAATACTATTTCTTACAGATTTTAACCCAGAAACTCTTCCAGTATATATACAGCCTTCTTCCTGAGACTGTTTGCTTATCCATGCTTTGTTTAGGACCTACAAAAGGGCTGAAACCAACACATTTTAAAGGTTGCTAAGAAGTAAGGTGAACACAGGTCTTCATATACACTAACCATGGCAGGAAGTGTGAAGTAGTTGAGTTTTTCCCAGGGCATTCTGTGAATATAGAACTGTTTATTTAAATACCATTTTTGTATATGCAGTAAGTACATATTGTATATATTCATAATGCTCGAAGTGAGAATTTGAAAGGAAGTGGTGGTGGTGGGGCGTTGGATTAGATATAATTTCAACTGGAGAAATAAGGAACTGGTTTATTCACAGACACTAAAAGTTTGCTGAAAGGTGCTGGGATTATTTAGGGCCTTCCTGAAAAGGAGTTGAGAAGTCTCAGGCCCATCCTCTCCTGCTGTAGCACTTTATACACAGGGAGTGAGGGAGGAAAATACAGTGCTTTCTTTTTTAAAACCTCTTTTCTCCCTCCATACACACACAAACATGATTTCCTATGACTGTGTTGTAACTGTGTGTTCTTCGTCATGATTCTGTTACGCCATTGTCCCTGGGCCTGGTGTGTTCAGGAATGTACCCATCCCATTCTCTTTTTTCAGACAACTTCCCGTTAAAAAAAAAACAAAACAAAAACATATTGTGGGATTTTGCTGGTATGAGGATGGGATTGGCAGTGTTCTTTCAACCTGCGTGGAAAAAATGTTTTTTTAAAACTGCTAACTTTTAAAAGGCATAAGCCACTTTGCAAATTCTCCTAAGTGTCTCCTAAGGCTCTGCAGCTTTCCCAGTTTTAGAGGAGTGGACGTGAGGACACAGCCGGAGTTGGGATTGTGTGCGTTTACTCCAGGTCCGCGGCTGCGCACTGAGGGCGTGGGGTGTCGGGCGTGCCCCCTGGCTTGCGGGCATCTCGTTATCCCATTTGCTCCCGCACGTGGCCAGTGCCTCGGCCTTCAGGGGAACGGGCCTGTTTCTCTCTCTCTCTCTATTTCCCAGTGTCACCTACGGTCACGGTCACGGGATACGATTAATCCCTCCCTTCCAAATGGGAAAGGCGACCAATACAGTTCACACGGGTCATTGTACTGCAGAACCTAAACTTGGCTGAACACAGCTCAGTGGTTGATCCAAATGCTGTTTTTCCTTTCTGTAAAGTGGCAAAAACTCTTTAAAGGGAGCACATGTCTCAGGTCTTTCATAGAGAAGCAGAAAGGGCAAATTAAGCAATTTCCCCAAAGTATCCTCTAAAGCAAGAACCCCCGAGCCCATAGGGGACTGTGCTCTTAAATAACCGTGAACGCGGTGCATGCCCACGCCATACCTTGTCTGTCAGGGCTTTAAATACTGGTAGCAGGTCGGACAAAGAGGTTCGATTGGGGTATCAGCTAAAGGGGCCGCAACAACAGTGACTTGGCGCTGGACTGGGAATGGGATCCCCAGAGCCCACCTGGACACAGCAGGCCCCCAGCCCAGGTCGGCGCTGCTCTGCTCGGAGGGGATGCCTGAGAGCAGCTGAGCTCCAGACCCCGGGCCTCCTGCGGCGCCAAGTCAGGGGAGAGGAGGCCCCAGGCCCCTGCTTCGGGTCGCCATGGCAACGAGGCTGGAATGCCACAGTGGTGGCCCTCTTCCTCGGCACATCCGGACTCCCAGTTCTGCTGCTTCAAGTCAATGTCCACAGCAAGGGAGGAACTCCGGAGGAAAATAACCATTCCCTTCTTCCCTTCACCACTGCCTCCCCCCTTCCAAAAAAGAGAGAAAAAAAAAAAAAGGAAAAAGAAAACTGCATGTTTGAAAGAAACTACAGGCAGTTTTTGGTGCAATTTGAGAGCAACTATTTTGGGTTCTGGTTTTCAGAGATTTGTTCGCCTCTTGTAAATCGTTGGCTGCTTTGACGTTGAACTTGATGACATTTCATGTTTTCGTTGTGCTGCTTTTACATCAATTTTGATTTTTTGTTTCTTTATAATTTCATTATTATTTTGAGAAGATGTCCCTCTTCCCTCCTCCCTCCCCCGCTCTCCTCAACCAAAGGACTGTTTCTTACTAAGTTTTCTCAGTCATAAGGGAAAGTGTTTCCTTCCAGGTGTGTCCCGAGCTTATTAGGACTATCCGATGACTGGGTGGGGGGCAGCCTGGGTCCTTTGGGGGACGGGAGGGAGGGAGGAGTGGGAAAGCCACTCCGAGGTCAGAGATATTTGGGGAGGGGAGAAAAGTTTGAAATCACGCTTAAGATGCCAGTGGCTCAACTTGTGGTTGATTTAAATTATAATTTTTAAAAGCTAGTTAGAGAACAGAAAAATCACTGGGCCAAATCACACCTGTACTTTTTTTTTTCCCCTCCTCTGTCTCCAACCTCTTTCTAGGTTCTTCACACACCCCCATTCGGCGTAGTACCCAGAGAGCTCAAGATGTGTGGCAGTTTTCGGATGGAAGCTCGAGAGCCCTTAAGTTCTGAGAAAATTTGAAGCCCCCAGGGGCGGGGTGGACGCGTGCCGCCCAGCCGACGTCAGCGTGGTCTGTCATCCTGCTAGTTTGTGATGTTTTCTGACAGTAGCCTCCAAGAAGCCGTTGTGCGAAGACAGAGTCCTGCAGAGTCCTTCCAGCCTGGGCTTGCAGTGCCATTTTATTTATATTTTTTAATAAAAAGTAAAAACAAAAAAACAGACCCACATTGGAACAGTGATCCAGTCCCATATAGAAGGCCTGTGGACCATCGCTGTCCTGAGTGAGGTCCTGGCCCTTTTGAAACCAGCCAACCTAATTACCCGTATTGTGGAAATGAGCATGAGTCCCCAACCCCTTGTTTCTATACATTCTATGTTGTCTTTTAAAAAGTGTGCTTAACATTGACAC